ATGGAGGGCGACGTTGCGGCGCAGGCGCTCGAGCCAGGATGGGGTCCACCCTCCCAGCGTGGCCTGCAGCGCGGGGAGCATCGCCTGCAGCCTGTGGGCCACCTCGTCATCCCCGATGACCGCGCCCAAGGCCTGCTCAGCGGCCTCCAGACGGGCCCGAGTCCTCCCCAACTCGTCCGTCAGCCGCCGCACGGCGTTGTCGGCGGACCACTTAGCCCACTGCCGTCCCGCAGCACGCTGGGCCGCCGAACGCCTTGGCGCGCACTCCGCGCCATCCCGCGCCATCCTGGGTCCCGCGCGCCCGAAAGCGGGCGGACCTGGCCTTGAGCCAAAATGGCTACGGACTGGATAAGGAACTCTTGGATAAGGAACTCTTGGATAAGGAACCCAGGGTCTGAAAGCTGGTGACTGCCAACGAGGATTGGCCGTGCATGCGGCGGCGGGCGACACGCCATGCCCTGCGAGCTGAGAGCGCGCCGCTCCGCGCCGCGGGGCGGGACGCTTCGACAGGCTCAGGGCGTTAACCTGGGGACCGGGAAGTGGATAGCGTGTCGAGCCGAAGCGTGGGCCAGAACCCCAGACCCCCTCGAGTAATGAAAAAATCACGACGGGAGGTTTTTCGCCATTTTCGGCCTCGGGGGGCCCTCACCGGGCCTCGGGAGCGTCAAAAAACGACTCAGGATGACAAACCGGTCCTGGGGAAGGGGTTGAGAACTCTGGGGTCGACGTAATGAAAAATTCATTACGTCGGGGGTCTGGAACCGGCGGCGCGACACGCCAACAAAAAAAAACTCCCGACCGTAATGCCGCCGCTCCCCGGACCTCTCCGGTGCGTTCGGACCAGGACTCCGAAGCGAACCCAGCGATGGCGGCGAGGGCACGACAGGGCGAACGCGCTGGAGGGAGCCCTCCAAGCCCCCGACGACGTCGTGATCTTGCTCACGACGTCGACCCCCCGAGGTCTGTCTGGACCCGTTCCCCGGGACCGGCTTCGCGGCTTCGCGGCTTCGCGGCTTCGCGAGGATGCTCCCCGAGTCTCGACAGTCATCAATCGATCGGCGATGGCCCAGACCCCCGACGTCGTGATTTGTTCACAAATGGTCGACTCCCAGAGGTCTGGACCCTTTCCGCGGGACAGGCTTTTCCTCCCGAGTCGTTCTGTTGACGGCCCCGAGGCCCGGGAAAGGCCCCCAAAGGCCGAAAACGGGGAACAGCCTCCCGTCGTGCTTTTTGCGCCGCGCGAGGGGGTCTGCCCTGACTCTGGATCCGCCCTACTTTGGGGAAAATCGTAAGTGGGGCTTGGAATTTCCGCCTTACTTTTCAAGCCCCGCTGATGCCAATTTCCGCCCTACTTTTCTGTGGCTGTTTCCGCCCTACTTCCGTGGATTTCCGCCATATTTTGCGTTCGGTGCAGAAATTTCCGCCCTACTTTTCGGCTTCGTATAAGTGGATTTCCGGCGCAATTTTACGTTGGAAAAAAACCAAAGTAGCGGATCTGGAGTCAGGGAGAGGCCGAAAACGGGGAACAGCCTCTCGTCGTGCTTTTTGCGCCGCGCGAGGGGGTCTGGGGAGGACAGGGCGCCTGGGGCGAGAGCACCGGCCAACTGGAGCCACGCAGAGCCCGAGCATGTGCGCGCCACCGAGCGCCAACCCCAGAGATCTGACGTCGTGCTTTGTTTCAAGGCACGGCCCCCAGGCCGCCGGCGCCGTGACTTTCTACAGCGTCGACCCCCAGCGGTCCGGACCCTTTCCCCGGGACTCCATCCTGAATCGTGTTTTGACGGCCCCGAGGCCCGGGAAGTGCCCCCAGAGGCCGAAAATAGCGAAAAGTCTCCCGTCGTGATTTTCTCACAGCGCGAGGGGGTCTGGGCCCCCGCAAACCTCAGTTTAGCGATCCGAGCCGTTTTCTGACAGTCCCGGAGCCTGGCGAGGGCGCCGAGAGGCCGAAAAAGCCGCGCCAAGGCCTCCGTCTTGATTTATTTTTCTCCCGCGCAAAAGCCGCGCATGAACGCCGAAAAAGCCGCGCAAAAAAGCCGCGCAGACGCCGCGCAAAAGCTACGCAAAAGCCGCGCCAAAGCCGCGCAAAAGCCTGCGTCTTGTTTTTTTTTTCCCCGCGGGATCTCTGGGAGGGGGGCCCTGCCGCCCGCCTGCGCGCCCCGAGCACGTGGAGAGACGCACCTCCCAAGCGCCGACCCCCCCTCGGGGATCCCGCGGGGAGGCGAACGCCTCCCCGCGGGCCCCTGGGAGGCCAGGGCGCCCCTGGGACCCCCGCGGACCCCTGGGGACGGACCCGTCATGGGACCCCCGTCATGGGACCCCCGTCCCCAGACCCCCTCGAGTAATGAAAAAATCATGACGGGAGGTTTTTCGCCATTTTCGGCCTCTGGGGGCCCTCACCGGGCCTCGGGAGCGTCAAAAAACGACTCGGGATGACAAACTGGTCCCGGGGAATGGGTCCGGACCTCTGGGGGTCGCGTCATGAAAAAGTCATGACGTCGGGGGTCTGGGCCCGTCATGGGACCCCCGTCATGGGACCCCCGCGGACCCGTCAGGAGGAGGAGGAGGAGGAGGGCGCCCCTGGGACCCCCGCGGACGAACATCCCCCGGGGATCCCCGCGGACCCCTGGGAGAGCCGCCATAGGTCATGTGGTTCCCATCCCACTCAAGGACCACGACCCAGAGATAATTTCGAGCACCCAGTAAAGTGTCGAAAGAGTGTCGAAACAGTGTCGAACGAGTGTCTCCCAGGGCCCGGCACGTGAAAACCCTTGAGTTTTTGGGTACTTTTTTCTGGCGCTCGAAATTCTTCCTGGTGATCAAGGCTAAAGTAGGTTGGGACATCATAAGCCATGGGGGTGGAATGGGGGCGGCCCTGACCCCCCTGACCCCCGAAGCTCGGCCATTCCTGGCCATCGTTTGCCTTGGTCATCACCAATGCCCAGACACCCCTCGCCCTGCGAAGAAATCACGATCGGAGGCTTTGTTCGCTCTCTTCGGCCTCCAGGGGCCCTTCCTGGGCCTTGGGGCCGTCAAAAAACAGTGTAGGATGAGAAACATGTCCAAGGGAAAGGGTCCAGATCTCTGAGGGGTCGACGTTGCGAAAAAATCGCGACGTCGGGGGTCTGGGCCATCGCCGATCGATTGGCTATTGCCGAGACTCGTGGTGCATCCTCGCGAAGCCGCGAAGCCGGTCCCGGGGAACGGGTCCAGACAGACCATCGGGGGGTCGACGTCGTGAGCAAGACCACGACGTCGGGGGCTTGGGGGGCTCCCTCCCGCGCGTTCGCCCTGTCGTGCCCTCGCCGCCATCGCTGGGTTCGCTTCGCGAAGCCGCGACGGTCCCAGACCCCCGACGTAATGAATTTTTCGTTACGTCGACCCCAGAGTTCTCGACCTCTTCCCCAGGACCGGTTTGTCATCCTGAGTCGTTTTTTGACGCTCCCGAGGCCCGGCGAGGGCCCCCCGAGGCCGAAAATGGCGAAAAACCTCCCGTCGTGATTTTTTCATTACTCGAGGGGGTCTGGGGTTGGCAGGGGCCCTGGCCGAGCTCGGCGTCGACGAGGCGCCGCGGCGCCCTCAGCCAGGGGCACACGCGGCGCCGCGGGGAGCGCAGGGGCAGCCCGGAGCAGAGGGAGAGAGCGCCACGGCACAGACAGGACGCTGCTGACGGCCCGCGAGGACGTCCTGGATCTGAGCCAGGCACCCCTCCTCCTCCTCCTCCTCCTCCTCCTCCTCCTCCTCCTCCTCCTCCTCCTCCTCCTCCTCCTCCTCCTCCTCCTCCTCCTCCTCCTCCTCCTCCCTGGTGCGCTCCGCGCGCCAGGGGCGGCGCCGGAGCCGCGGCCCGGGGGGGAGCCCAGCGCAGATCCCCGGACAACCGACGCCTCGATGTTTTCGAGGCGCGGGCCCCCGACCTCCCGACCACCTCCCCGGGACCGGTTTTTCGTCCCGAGTCGTTTTTTGGACGGTCCCGAGGCCTGGCGAGGGCCCCGAGAGGCCAAAAACTATGAAGAACCCGTGTGTCGATTTTTCCGAGACGCCCGATGTCTGGGTCCAAGAGAGATCCGCGCGGACCGCCGAAAGTCTACGCTCATGCCTTTCTTCCTCCCCTGGCGAAGCGCAGGGGTGGCGGCGCACCTCTTCCCACTAATTAGGGAGGCGAAGATCAACACTCACAATGCGCGCCCCGAAAAGCGAGGCCGCTCAGCGAACGCACCCAAGGAAAGCATCGCACAGGGCAGGGCTGTTCGGCAACCGCCCAGGGCCGTTCGAAACATCCAGCTGCCCCATTTCTTCCGATGCGTGGGCCCTTGAGGTCTGGACCACTTCCTTATAAGAGGCCGGATTCTTGTCCTGAATCGTCTTATGCTGGTCCCGAGGCCCGGCGAGAGCCCCTGGAGGGCGAAAACCGCCCAAAACCCGCCGCTCCATTTTTTTTGTCGGAGCGTCGGACCTCTGGGTAGTCAGCGCCAAACCCCCCCACCACTTCGAGTAGGAGATCGACTACAGATCTGATGTATCCCGAAATGGGTTTTCCCTTCGAATCCGCGAACAATGCATAGAATGCGCCGTGAATCTACGGAACATTCCCAGACCCCCGACGTCGTGTTTTTTTACAACGTCGACGCCCAGAGGTCTGGACCCTTTCCCCTGGACCTGTTTCTCATCCTGCATTGTTTTTTGACGGCCCCAAAGCACGGGTGAATGGCCCCGGAGGCCGAAAATAGCAGAAAACCTCCAGTCGTGATTTCTTCACACGGCGATGTCGCAATTTTTCGATGCGGGGCCCCTCGACCCATTCCCCGGGGCCGGTTTTCCATCCCGAGTCGTGTTTTGACAGTCCCGGGGACCGGCGAGGGCCCGCAGAGGCCAAAAACTGAGAAACAAAAATTAAAAAGAAAGCCGTCTTGATCTTTTTTTCCCATGCGCCGGATCTCTGGGGAGCACTCTACGCATTTTCTGGAGACCCCCTGGGGGGCCTCCAGCTCCTCCGCGAGCCTCGC